TACTAACAGAAATACATTTTGCTAACACACAGTAGAGAAGAATAAATATTGGTCTAAAATACACTACACATCTCACAGTTTAAAGCCCAAATACAATGCTGCGGTCAAATCAACACCTCGAAAGTATCAAAGATATTTATAACCATGCTGTAGTATGAAAATGTACTGCAGTACATGGTATGAATGTAGTTCATTATAAAGCAAAATACAAAACTGGGACATTTAACTACAATAAAAACTAAAGGCTACTTTTGAACTGTTCCAGTATTCAGAAGAAATCATGTAATGGTGACAGAGTGACTAAGTAAGTATCTTTTATAAATTAGCTTTTTTCTTTTAATAAATCAAATCCAGAAATACAATTTATTCTGATCTAATAATTGGACTTTCAAAAAGTGATTGGACTTTCAATCATTGACATACAGTAACAACCAACTCCCCTTCATTTGTCAGCCGGATGAGATTTATGATCTCCATTTAACTCGCCATCTGTCAGGTGTTTGCCAAGTCTTGAATTTTGACCTACTATGAATTACAAACTCAACCAGAAACTAGATCATGTACAGCTACTGTATCTGTAAAGCCCTTTGAGAAGCCACTTTTAAAGGCATTATATGAAATAAAGTTTACTATTATATTATTATTACCTCTGTTTGAACATTCACTTCTTATCTGTACTCTCTGTTTAGTTATTTATCCATTAACCAATTTTCAATATCTAAGATAAACTATCATGACCTTTAACAAATTAAATGATGACTAGATTCCTAGAATCATACTGTCATATAGACAACCTTCTGGTTTGTATGTTTTAGTATTGTTTTCATAATCTTGAATACAATATAAATAAGAGTAATAGAGCTACATGTAATAGAAATAAGACACAATGTCTAACAATTACTTGGTTCAATTTTGTTGACCTTATTATGGAGGTATTAAAGGTCTGCAGATAATGTCCTTTTCCTTGCCTACAGGAATACAATCAGGCCCTAGAGATTTGTTTATCTTAGAATGCTTCTAGTACCTGTAACACGTCTGCCTCTTGTACTGTATATTACTATTGAATACAGTTATGTCTATAATACAGTCTAATACAGAGTTTTGTTTTCCTTAGCCTGAGGCATGTTGTTGATTCATTACTTGGTGAGCTCCTGGGTTAGATTTACTGCAGGCAGTCTAATGTTACATTTTCCATATGAGCATCTAGTAATTTGCCTTTTTGTCTTTGAAACGCATTGATTCATTATTTATTATCCTTTTTTTTGTAATAGTGAAAAAAAAGCCTTTGAAAAAAATTCAATGTTCCTTTTTATTTATTTTCATGGTCTGTCTCATGCTCCCTTTCACCTGTGCTTGCAATTCATTGCACTCATTTTCTTCTGCTCATTCTTAATTGTTTTATGAAGTGCTCTCTTTCTCCTTATACTTCTCCTAATTGACTTATTAACCCATTTAGGCCAGTGCTTTCTTGATTTTCATTTACTTCCTCATGGGAGGAATCTGTTCTATGCTTCACACAGAATCTCTTTTCTGTTGGCATCCGTCCCTTACTGATGTCATATCGGTTTCCTCCAGAGGGCCATGCTTTACATTTATATCATCAGGACCTGTCTCCTGTACAGAACAGCTATAGACCTGTTTTTGTACTTAAGCACAGCACTGAAAACCATGCATACAACAATGTCAAGTATAGGAGAATAAACACAAAACTTGCCAGCTTTAATATGAATTTTGTCTTCAGAAAACCCCAAAGCCCCATGACAGGGCGGGTGTGAGTCCGTTATGTACTGGGAATGTGTCTTGAAGTGGGCAAAGCACTAGGCCACAGACTGACAAAGATGACCAGGAGCTGTTGCTGCTTTACTGTACATGTACTAAACCATCTTGTGTGAGTGCTTGTGACCTGTTTGTCCCATAAAGTCTTGTTTACTACCGTACAATTTCACCACAACTTCCCAAACGCATTTAAATATAATATATTATCTTTATTTTAACTTTTTTGCCAAGAGATGGAGAGAAATGACACGTCAAACTTGTTCTTAGGATGGCTCTTCAAGTTTATTATCTGCTACTATATATTATATATACAGTTTTACTGCCTTGATGTACAGCTCTGTACTTGTCTCCAATTGACATGTACAGTCCACCTCCTGTTCCTCCTGTCTTCTCTCTTGTTCCTGCCTCTGTGAGTTGTTTGGATTGTGTGTTAAGAAAAAGTGTGGTAATAGTGACATAAAGTGTCCCAGTTCTATTTTTTTAGACTTGTAGCAAGATTGCTACACTTGGAGAAGGAATTGGAAATTACTGTTTGCACTGCTGTTGAAGTTTAGCTCTACTGGTTCTGTGCGTTTAACGTATTGCCGGAAATTCAGTTTTCTTGACTCACCCAGGTAGTTCCTGCTCTTGATCATCTCAGTGATGTTGATCTTGGTGGCCCCCACAGGAATCTCCACGATCTTGTGATAGCCAATGTTCATCAGAGAGTGCTTGAAGACCCCTGATACCACTTCGCAGGCTGTGTTGTCTCCCCCACACACTCCACACTTGTCCATCACCTTATCTGAGCCCAGGAGCTCATCACAGCCAAGACTCTGTGAAAGGAGAGAGGAGGAGACTGTCATATACACAGGAAGCCAGAAAGCACCAGCAATCAGTATTGCTACTACCTCTTCTGGAATTATTGAGCGGTTTATCTTAATTCTTGTGAATGTCAGAACTGATTTGATTTTTAAAGAGAAACATGCTCAGAAGTGACCATTTGGACTTTAGGTTTACATTCCAAAGACAAACTGTCAAGGTTGTGTGCAGGTTTTGGTAAAAAAGCACGGTACATTGTACATTAATAAACAAATCCAACACACCACAATGTCGATTGTACCACTGTCTGCCGCACCGATTAATATTTTTGTTTTGTAGCAGTGAGAGCGTGTTTTTATCCAGCCACAAAGGATAGGAGAGTAATATTAAATTCTGTAGCATAAGATTCACTGCAGCTTCCTTCTAGTAGTTAAATGGTTTTACAATTATTGGTATATATTGAATTTGTTTTTGAATTTTTTTTAATTAAAGGTTTTCTTATTTCACATACAGTATGAACTTTATAAGAATAACCTCTAATATCCTGCCGCCCAAATAAATGGAAATACCAGCTGGTACTGTTTGATAAATACAGTGTCAGTTATTGAAAAAAGGCAAGTAAGCTCTGAATGATCACTCTACAGCGTCTGAAGTCTGGCTAATTGGGATATCAGTTTCCAACCATTTTGAAGATCTGATGATTTGTACACAAATGCCAATACCAGAAGAAGGTGTTAGCTCCATACCTAAAGACTGGTACAGGCTCAGAGAGCTTTTGACATTTCATTTCAATACTAATAATGAATATTGGGCTTTGCTAAAAAGACTGGAAAAGACAAAACATTGCAAATACCAACACAAAACACCCATACCATGAATTTTGCTTTCTCCACTCATGATATTTAAAATACAGTACTTAATGCTAATGCACTTATGGTAAAAAAGTACTTAATGTCATCATATTAGAATAACTGCCACTGGAGATGTTTCCTCCTCCTTCAATTACTTTGACATCAATCGTGGGTTTCAACATGCTGAGATCCCTTGAGCCACCTTAGTTAAATGCTCAGCCTGTCCAAGGAGGCTGAACAGTGTGCTGAATAAAAGACTGAATATGAAAAAAATATTTAGTGTTGTACACAAGGTTTGAGTGATTAAAAAATGTTCTCCCTTTCCTGTCCTTACTGTTCTCCTCGACTTTCAAAAATTCATTTAGAAATAAAGAAAGTATTGTTTACCCTTCCAAAAGAGAACAGTTTTTTGGAAATATGTGTCATTCTTTATACCCGAACGTAAATTCACTGATGCAGGACAACTCGTGCATGTACATCTTAAAGTTGAGTGGACAAAAATACTAATACCAACTGTATTTTTAAATTTAGCTCAAGCTTCACACAGCTGGGCATTTTACTGAAACAACTGGAGTACTGTGCTCAAAGGCACAACAGAAGAGCCCCACCTGGGACAGCCCACACCGTTCAGTTACAAGGCCATAGGCCTGATCACTGCTCCACACTGTGGCTCTCCCTGCCCCC